GACAGCTCGCTCTGCTATTTGCTGCAAATTTTCTGTTTCTGTTTCGACCTGTTGATTCTGGACCCAGCTTCTGTTTCTCATGGGAGCATCCATCCATCCATCCATCCTTCTTCACAGGGGGACCGGAGCCCCCCTCAGCCTGACTCAAACTGCAGTTGGGCCAACTCGTCGGGTTTGTTTGCCCATTTGAACTGTGACATTTTATGGTCTGAAACTTTTCTGCATCATTCATATTACTGTCACTATTTTCAGTTCTCAGATTATCTGGAGTCACTGAATCTTGTTAATACACCTGAATCTGTCCATCACTGCAACTTTCACTGTTTTTGGGTTCTGAATGATCACGTCTTCATTAATGTTTCTCATGGATCAATTATGGGGGATAATTGCCACACTGTTAACTCCTGTAATTACACATCAGTCACAAAAAACTCAAGAAAATGTCTGATAATAATGTTGTTACTGCTCTCAGGAATTCAACCCAACCCTGGACCCCCCATTAATTACAGCACACCAAATGACTTTAAAAACACCTCTGGGCTCCATTTTCTGCATGTAAACGCTCGTAGCCTTCTGAAAAAACTTGATGCTGTGAAAATCCTGGTCAGTTCTTCTGGGGCTGATGTTATCTTTATTTCTGAGTCCTGGCTCAACAAATCTGTAATGAATAATGACGTGGCAATCAATGGGTTTAACATCTACCGCTGTGATCGTCAAAAAAGGGGGGGTGGAGTCATTATTTACATTAGAGACACTCTGGTTTCAAGTCTTGTGACTTCCAAAACAATTCCAAACCAGTTTGAAGCCTTATCTGTAAACATCACCTTGAATGGAGGCCAGGTTTTAACTGTAGTCTGCTGCTACCGCCCCCCCCTCAGCTTCACCTATGGCATTAAATGCCATTAAGGAATTCCTTGGTAATTTAAAATTCACAGAGGTCTTTTTAGCTGGAGATCTCAACATTGATTGGTGTAAGTCGACCCCCCTCTGTGACAAATTCAAGGAATGTTGCTTGTCTTTTAATTTAACCCAACTGATTGACTCCCCCACCAGATTAAATAAAAGCCACCCTGACAATTCCTCCATCTTAGACCTGTTTCTAACTAATATGCCTCACAAATTCCCTGGTACAGGTGTATTCGCTGATCTTTTGAGTGATCATTGTGTGACAGCGGCTTTAAGAAATATTAAACTTCCACCTTCTAAGCCCAGATTAATTAAAAAAAGGGATCTGAAACATTTCTGTGAACAGTCATTCCTCTGGGATCTGTCTCACTTTGACTGGCATCGTATTCTGTTAACTGATGATGTGAACTCTGCTTGGAACTATTTCCATAATAATTTCATTTATTTCCTGAACAAACATGCTCCTTTTCGTCAGTTCAGAATAAAGGGACGAGACAGCCCCTGGTTTACTCCAGAGCTAGCTGACCTCCTGCACAGGAGAGATCATCTTTGGGCCGCAGCGAGAAAATCTGGCTCAGACACTGATTGGTTGAGTTTTCGACAGATGAGGAATAAATGTACAACTTCTGTCAAAGCAGCAAAACGCAACTATTTCTTATCTCAGACTTCCAAAAATCTAAATGACCCTAACAGATTCTGGAAAACCATCAAATCTCTCTCAGGCACCACCCAATCATCTGACCTCCCATCACAACTTCTCGTTAACTCTGTTCCTGTGTCAAATAAGCACGAGATCCTGAACTGTTTCAACAAACATTTTGTTGCTTCTGGTTCTTTATTTGACACAGTTACTAATGGAAGATCAGCCACTTCACTTAATAACCAAACTTCTACAAATCAAATCCCTCCTACAAGTCAATCCTCAGTTAATCACAGCTTCTCTTTTTCTCCATTCTCAGTCAGTGAGGTCAATAAACTGTTAAAAGATCTTGATCCTAAAAAATCTGCAGGTCCAGATGAACTTCCACCTTATTTCTTAAGGCTGGCTGCTCATATCATCACAGTCCCTGTGACCCACATCTTCAATCTCTCCATAAGACAAAACTCCATCCCAGACACTTGGAAAACGGCCTTTGTTCTTCCTTTGCTGAAGGGAGGTGACCCCACCTCACTGAACAACTATCGACCAATCTCTAAACTCTGCATTTTAGCCAAGGTTCTAGAAAAACTGATAAACTCTCAAATCAAAAAATACCTGGACTCATTTAACATCTTACCTCCACATCAATCTGGTTTCAGGAAACAACACAGCACAACCACTGCTTCACTGAAGGTTCTTAATGACATTGTTGAAGCACTGGATGCTAAGGATTATTGTGCTGCACTTTTCTTAGACCTGTCTGAAGCTTTTGACACTGTGGATCATAACATCTTGTGTCATAAACTCTCAGAAATCGGTTTCTCAGATCACACCATTGGTTGGTTCTCTAACTATCTTTCAGACCGGAGGCAATGTGTTCAACATAATGGTACTTCCTCCAGTTATTTAACAGTCAACAATGGTGTACCACAAGGCTCAGTCTTAGGACCCACCCTCTTTACAATCTACATACATAATGTAGGTAAAAACATCCCTAATGCATCCTTACATTTCTATGTTGACGACACAGTTGTTTATTGTCGAGCTAAAACAGTTGCTAAGGCTTTCCAGCTTTTGAAATCTGCATTTAACTACATCCAGACTGATTTGTTCCGCCTCAAACTTGTCCTAAATGCCGAAAAAACCAAAGTGATGCTTTTTTCAAATAGGAAGTTGGTCCCAGCAGTTCTTCCTCCGATTTTATCCTCAAATGGTGTCCCCATTGGGTTTGTTGATTCCTATAAATATTTGGGTATCTTGGTCGACTCACATCTTTCTTTTAAGCTCCATGTGGAAAACTTGGTAAAGAAACTGAAAGTTAAACTGGGTTTCTTTTTCAGAAACAGATCCTGTCTAACCCTGAATGCTAGAAAACGCCTTGTATCTGTGACTTTCCTTCCCTCAATTGATTTTGGTGATATTATTTACATGAACGCTCCTACAAGAACCCTGCAGATGTTGGATGCTGTCTATCATGGTGCACTAAGATTCATAACTGGCTGTGATTATCGTACCCACCACTGCACCCTGTATTCATTGGTTAACTGGACATCATTAACTTCACGCAGACTCTCTCACTGGTACATTTTCATCTTTAAATCACTTCTTGGTCTGCTGCCTTCATACATCTCCTCCTACATGTCTCTGCGTGAGTGCAGCTACAGCGTGCGCTCTCAGGACATTATTACCTGCAGTGTTCCCTCAGTGAGGACTGAACTAGGCAAAAGGGCCTTCTCCTACTCCGCTCCTGTTTCCTGGAATATCTTACAAAAAGATTTGAAGCTCTCGACCTTTGACCTCTCTAAGTGGCTTTAAGAATCTGTTGGACTCCTGGCAGGGACCAATGCTGACATGTTCCTGTTTTTAGTTTTCTACATTTGTCTTGGAATCTAGCTGTTTTTTTGTTTTGTTACCTTTTTCCTTTTAGCCATCCTATTTGTTAAAAAAAAAAAAAAAAAACCTGTAGTATGAGTTTTTATAACTGCTTATTGTTGTTGCTGTTGTCCATTGTTGTCATCTTTCTTTGTTGAAATCAGGTCTCTTGTAAATGAGTCCTCGAGGCTCAATGGGATTTACCTGTATAAATAAAGGTTGATTGATAGTCGACACTTAACAGATATTCACTGCATAACTGGTGATACTTTGAAGGATGAAACTTGTTTCTCCTAATATTGGCTAACCATCTTCTCAACAGGTCAGGTTTGTGTAATTGCCTTTGTGCTAGCTCAGGATGAGACACTGCGATGAAATGTATAACGCATCTGCTGGCTTCCTTCCTGTCTTACATAGATAACTTTACTAATTTGCATTTATAATCTACATGAATTTTTCTGTTCAGTGCTCTGAGATGACTTCTGTTATGACTTGGAGCTATATAAATAAACTGAACTGAATTGAATTAATAGAAAACTAAAATTAGTCAAATATTCTATATAATATTTTTTACACTGTGTAAATAATACAGAAATCTAGGGCAATATCAGATTGTGCCATTTTATTTGCTAAATTGTACCATGATTCGGCATAGTGCTACACTCTATAACAGTGTTTGCCACAGAAGTTGAATTTTACTAGCCAATTCAATAATTAACAGCGATTACATCGGCTTTATATTTTAATTTTAACATTTACATTATTGGCTTTAATTATGGTCACATGATTATGGGGGCCAAGATGGTGTAGAGGCAGGGCAGCCAGCTTGGGACCCGAAAGTCCCAGGTTCAATCCCCCGTCACTGCACACCGCGTGGTGTCTCTGGGCAGCACACCCCATCCCCAAAATGCCCCCCTGAGCGCCCCCAATAGCTGCCCACTGCACCACCCGGTGGTGGATGGGTTAAATGCAGAGACCAATTTCACCATTGTATGGAAACATGCAGTGATGACAATAATATTATTATTATTCAAATTGAGATAAATATGAAATCTACTTACTTGTGAAATGAGACGTTTTTCTCTTCAGTTGGTACAACCGTAGCACGCAGAGCTTTGTAGCATTTTTACATTTTTGTATACATGAGATGTATATATTCTATTATTATCATTTATAATTTATTTTTATGTATTCTGCCCTTACTGTTGGCTATTTTGCCAGTATCTAGAACAATACTAAATCCAGACACTTGCTCTCTCTGGTTATCGCTCCTGTCCCTCCAGTGAGTCACATCACGTGAGCAACGTGCCCTCTAGTTGTCTTATTTAACTCTGGGTAGCTTCAACTTCCAGATCTCAATACTGTATTTAGTTCTATAGCGAGATGGTTTTCTTTGTTGCCCATAAACCTTTTGGCAGTCGAACATTATTTTTGGTTTCTTTGAGTTTCTGTACTACTAATGTTAAAGTTCAGGTTCTTAAATCTTCTTCCAGTTCCCTTTTAGCCACAAATGGAAGCAACATGGTAAAACCTGTTTTACTTACTGAACTTTGAGACTTTTGTCTTTTCTGATTGGTCACAGTGAACACTGGCATTGTAAACCACACTCACTCCAGGATGGGCTCCATCATGAGCACAGGAATTGTTCAAGGTGAGACAAGTTTATATGGCTCACTCAGATTATCCTCTGCAGCCATGCTAAAAGCAGTGCTTTGTTCCCTCCACCAGGAGCCACCACAGGCCAGTCGGGCCCCAGCAGCAGCGGTACTTACTATCCTATCACCAACCAGTTCACCATGGGGGGTGCTGCCATCTCCATGGCTTCACCTATGGTCATCCCCAGCAACACCATGCACTATGGCAGTTAAGATGAAGATCAAGGACCTGTTTGAGCTCCCACACCCCACCCTGCATGACAAGAAGTCCTCCTTCTAACCCTGATGGAGCCAACAACCAAAACCAGTAAACCAAAACCAGTGCTGTGCTGCATTTTCTTCTTTGGTCCTGCTTCAGTCCATCAGTAGATGAACAACTGAACAGTCTCATATCCGTCCAGACACGTCCACCCCCACCACCTCTGTTTGGGTCTGTTGGAACTTTACTGCTATCTGAGACCCTCTACATACTTATCCTGTTTTTAATGTGTCATGAGCCTCTGGAACCAGCATCAGTCCATACCCACCATGCTCCTGTGTAACAATGACTCTGACGCTCCTCATCTTGTTTACATTGTGAATTTAGTTTTCAGGTCTGGTCTGCAACTTTGTCAGCGGCTTGATTCAGACAAATCAACTTTTCATCAGGAACATCAGCGCTTTTCCTTGCTGAACCCCCTGTAGTCTGCTCCTGTGGGTGGAGTTTTACCAAGAACCATCTGCAAGGCTGCTTATCCGTCAACACGTTTTTATTTTTTATTTTAGTTGTGAACGAACAACAGGCTGGTCACCTTCCATGCTGAGTCGAAACTGTAGTCTTGTGTTGTGTCTGTTGATGCTGCAGATGTTTGATCTTTATGAAGCTCTTTTTGGGTTCAGGAGAACCAGCTGTTCACACTCATGTCCCATTGATCCAGATGTTCACTCCTCTTAGCTCCACTTTCTTCACCAGCCAGTGGTGATGTCCATGCTACTATCCGAGTTTACAAGTTTCTATCAGCCCATAGATTACAGATTAAAGATTACAGCCAGCATGTCACTGGGCAATGACTGTTGGAAATTAGTTTTTTGTTTTTTCTTGTCGTTTTTATCGCAGCCTGTTTCCATGTACGCATCTAGGCTGTGAACATATTTGGTTTCTCGTCTCTGCCAACATTGTACCCACCTGGAGTAATTTTAAACAGCTGTGTTTGAATTTGTTGTTAATTAAATATCCAATCGTCATCATGACTGATTCCTCCTCTGCACCCTTTTTGGCAGCTGCCCAAACGTTGATTAAATCAACGAGATATTTCCCTCAGAGGGCAAAGTAGAGCTCTGTACGGGTATCAAAGAACTGCTGTAGATAGTTTGGAGATGACCTTAACAAAACGTATCTGGGTTTGAGACGACACCTACCCCCACCTCACATAAACGCTTTGAACCCCTCTGGAGACTCCTCACCAACTGCTCTCCATATGTCGATATGCTGGCTGAAGAAAAGGAGTTCCCAGATGTTAGGGGAGGTTATTCATTCCCAGTAGATCTGATTAAAGTTGTGCATGAGGATTTCTGTCCTGATAACTAGTTTTATCAGTGAGTTACATGGTCTTTAAATTTGTCTTTTCATGATTGTTCCTACAGTAGTTTTAAATCTATTCCAGGTGGTTTTACTCTCAACTTCAGTGACAAGCCATTAAGTGTGAGTGGGTAATCTGAATTCTGCTCTAAAACCTGCTTCAAATATTATTTTTAAATTTGTACATATTACTTGATTCACAGTGACTGGAACAACTTGAGCAGAAGAGTTTCTCAAAAGATGACCAGACTGGTTTCACTTAGCTTTAGTATCTGACAGATGTCCCATCATTAAAACTTGGTGTTGGTTCTCAACATGGAAGGTGACCCAGGTGAAGCTGCTCATACATTTTTTGTTGAATGATGTTCCTGTCTGGGACTGAAGTTAGCCTGGATCGGGAGGATCTATCTTTTTTCCAACTGTTGAGAGACGCACTCTAATAGGTGTGAAAGACAAAGTCCCCTTGACCCTGATCTGTCCCTGTTTCTGACTGCCAACATATCACTGATCCCAGGTCAGCTGACTCCTGCTTCTTGTTTGATCAGAAAGAGAATGAAACTCTGACACTTTTATGCATTTTCTTTCTGGTGTCACAACGATTGGGACTTAATTTAGTGAGATTTAAGATAAGTGAGAAAAATGTATCTAAGTAGGAACAATTTGTGTTGAATTATTGTTTTTTTTTTGTTGTTTTTGCCTTTTTTCACATGAAAAAAAATTAAATGTGGAGATGTTCCAACTCATTCTGAAATACAATGTCATTTGGTTTGTTCTTCTCCCAAGTGGAGCAGATGTTGGACACACCAGAAGTTCTCCATGAGGTTGCAAGCCTGACGTCATTTTACGCCTTTAACGTGGAGTCTGATCTACGTTTCGCTGTGGAGTAGAGTTGCATCCGGGCCCAAATAATCTGATCCGACCTGGCCCGCAGTCATAATTTCCGAACCCCACCCGACCTGAAGAATTAACAGCACTTAAGGGTCTGAACCTGGAAAACCCCCAACATTTTTAATTAGTTATTTACAGTCGGGACGCGCAGCTGAATAAACGCAGCAGAAGATTTGGAGCTGAGAGGTGTTTGTCCTTTCATGGCCATAAAAAAACATTTAAACCCTGTTTCTGCTGCATTCTTCTGAAATACTGACACACAGACCCTGCTCTGACACACGCGTCCGCTTCGGGATCTCACCTGTTTGGGTCGTCGGCCGCGTGCGTCCGCTGAGTGCAACGGATGAATGAACGTCCATTTGGGCAATGGATCGATACCTGACAGTACAGTACACCTGAAGCTTAACTGAACTTTTGACCTCTTTCAAGGCCAGTCAGCTCACGGTGAAATGACGGTGTGCGACTGGTGGATGTATGGCAGGCCATGTTATCATATAATTGGATCGTGGCTGATCCTGACCTAATTAAAAGCCGGAGACCAGCCCGGCCCTAATCCGGTTCGGTCTGGGACGGGTTTCGGGTTTGGGTTAGAAATGACAGCTCCACTGTGGAGTCAGGTCCACATTTCACCTTGTAGTCTGATCCACGTTTCATCGTAGAACCAGATCCATGTTTCACCATGGATTCAGGCTCACATCGTACAGTGCAGTGAGATCCTCATTTCATTGTGTAGTCTGGTTCACGTTTTGTCCTTAAATCAGATCCATGTTTCCTCATGGACAATAATCCCATTTTGACATACAATTAGGTCTGTGTCTTGACATCGAGTTTAAGCCACGTTTTACTGTACGGGTCAGATCCACCTTTCACCGTATAGTCTGAAACATTTACAATGAACGTTTCTGTTCAGTCCCCTGAGATGACTTCTGTTCTGACTTGGCTCTATATAAATAAAGTGAATTGAATTGTCTTCTCCTTGAATCGTCACCTTATCATGGTGGAGGACTTTGTGCGCCTGAATGATCCTTGGAACTCTGCTGTCGGGAATAATTATATTTGCCCCTCATAGGGTCTCCCGAGGCAGATTGGTCCTAGGTGACAGGCCAGACAAAGAGTGATTCTAAAGACTTGATGGACAATATTGTAGCAATAAGAAGGATGTGAGAAGGAGGAAGAAGGGTGACACTCCCCTCCACTACATTTATTTTATTTATTTAGCTCTCTTTAAAGTGGAGCACCAGCTGATCAGTTTACTGACCAACAACAACTTCATTAATATTTTCACCCTTTAATGATCAGAATCAGTCACTGAAGTAGAATCTGTTCATTACAGGGAGTTCTGCACCAGAACACATGAATATTCATCTGAATGAAGAGACCACAGTTGTCTTTGAACTTTTATTACAAAAATAATCAAACTAAAAATCAATAACAATAATAAACAAACAATAATAATGAATCAACCAAGGCTTAATTCTCTTATCTAAGACTAAATTGACTCTGAGCAGGAATTATTTCAGTTTTAGACGCGCATGAATTTAGACAAAGTTTGACTATTTTAATAAATAGTTTACTTTGGATTTTGGTTGAAAGAAGTTATTTAATCTGATCAGATGAAGTCATTTATCGTCACTGCAAACCAGGAAATGATTTTTTTTTTTTTTT